GCGCCGGCCGCAGCAGCGCGCGAAATCCGGCCACGCCTCCTTCACAGCACGGGGTGGGACGCGCGACACAGGCCGCCCGCGCATGCGTCCGGGGACCACCCCCGCCCAGTGGGCGCAGCTCAGCGAATTCCCCTCTGCGGCTAGGGCGGGCGAGGAACGGGGCGGGGCGTAACTCAGGGTATAGTCTGTCCTGCGCATGCGTGGCCTCAGCACGGCTTTCCCGCGCAGCCTCCGAAGGTTTCCCGCGCGGGCCCTGAGCTGTAGGCAGTGCTGCAGCTGTGTGGCATAGGGGCTTGGGCTGCTGCTTCTTGTGGTGCGCTTTGTGCTGGACCTTGTCAGGCATTACCCCTGTTGTACCTGGAGAAGGGCCTTTGTACCCAGGCTTGCAAAAAGCAATTGTTTCCAGCTGCTTAGTTGGTCTGATACAAGATACCACATTTCCCCAAAGAACATTGTCTGCCTGTGTGCTTAGGCCACAACCAGCACTCCTGAACCTATTGCACAGGGCACTGGGGAGTCACATGCTACAGTGTGCTGGGAGAAACCTCCCTAAGGTTCGTTGTCCAGCTGTAATTTGATAGACAGACAACGCGGGTAAAGACAGACAGCTGTTTATTTGCTTGAGCAAAGGCCATAATGCAAGCAAAAGGCAAAATGGCCCCCCCTAAAGTGTGAGGTGATCTTTTATACTTACTACAATAAGGCAAGACTTACAGGGTTAACAAAAAAGCAATATTTGGGCGGTGCTTTACAAATCTTTGTAACAGCTTATTTCTATTAAGCTGAACTAGCACTTTTTTTTAAAAGCTAAAAGTTAAGTAACAGTAACATTAGAATATGTTAGCAAAACCTTACACAATAGTAGATACTTCTCAAGGACACAACCACTGCACCCAGAACAATGGCTTCCCTGTCTTAACTTACTTCTTGCTGTAGCTGATTTTTCAGCACACAGACACAGATCCACTTTTTAACTCAGAAAATGCTTAACACAGTTAAAATGATTACTTGACACAAGCAAAGGCTTAACTATCATTCTGCCTTGTGGTCAGCTGCATTGCTAGGCCACAGGTCATGCCTTGTATTCAGCTGTAAAGCTAATACTTCTTAATAATCCAAATTATTGTTAACCTACCTGTATGCTATC